CAGTGACAAGATTAAAAAAGAAGTCACCAAACAGCTGAAAGTGGGTGTGATTCGAGTGGTCCGATACACCACGTGGTTAGCCAATGTGGTGTTAGTGCCAAAGAAAGATGAGAAAACCCGAGTGTGTGTTGATTATCGAGATTTGAATAAAGCAAGCCCGGTGGACAACTTCCCATTACCAAACATCCACATCATTGTTAATAACTGTGCTAAACATGAGATACAGTTTTTCGTGGATTGTTATACTGGATATCATCAGGTTTTGATGATTGAAGAAGATGTAGAAAAGACAGCCTCACCACGCCTTGGGGTACCTATTGTTATAGGGTCATGCCTTTCGGTTTGAAGAACTCCGGGCAACTTACATGAGAGCTATGACTGCCATTTTCCATGACATGATGCACTAGGAAATTGAGGTGTATGTGGATGATATGATCATTAAATCAAGAACGCAAGACGACTATGTGCGGGATCTGAGTTGAGCATTTGCGTAATTGAGGTTAAATCCAGCTTAGTGTGTATTTGGAGTACCATCTGGGAAACGTTTAGGGTTTGTAGTCAGTCGGAGGGGCATTGAGCTAGATCCAAGAAAGATAAATTCTATTCGGCATTTGACTCCTCCAAGAACCAAGAAAGAGGTTTGAGTCTGTTGGGTAGGTTGAATTACATCAGCAGATTCATTGCTCAGTTGACTTCCACGTGTGAGCCTATCTTTATGCTGTTGAAGAAAGATGCGGCGATTAGATGGACAGATGAGTGTCAGGAAGCTTTTGACAAAATCAAAGAATATTTGTCGAATCTTCCAGTGTTGGTTCCACCCGATCCAATCCATCCACTGCCGTGTCCGCTCCCTACTCACCTTCTTTGGGCATGAAGGAGGATAGATCGAACTCCAGAGTTTGCATTTTGTGGAGCTCAGTCTTTATTGTGGCAACATCATCACGGAGCTTTGGCAAGTCACCAACCTCACCCCACTCTATCATTTCAACCCGCACCTCAAGCTGGTTCAGGCGATCCTTATAAGATGTTTGTTGCTGTTGGATGGTCGTCACTGAGGATTGGCTAGGAGTCAATGTCTGCTTGATGAGGGTGGGAAGGTTCTTCAAAAGCTGGTCTACCTTAGCATTTGCATGTTGAGCTAAGAAACCAAGCCTCAAAATAGCTAGCAGTATGGCAGAAGGCTGAGCAACGGTAGCCTGAGAGGTGGGTTGTGGAGTGGAAGTGGATGCAACAGTAGCCTGAGGAGACATGTGAGTCTGGGAATCTGAGGGCTCTATATCAGCATGAATCTGGGTCTGAACCTCTGGAGAGAAACATCTAGTGCATCATTAATGTGCGTGATATCAATATCCTTCAGTGCTTTCCCTATTTTGTTAGTGTGTGGCATTGTAGGGACTTCCACAGCCTTATAGAGGGCTGTGATCAAGCATGGGAATAGCAGTGACGTAGCTGTCTGGTTGGCCTGGATCTCTAACTCTCGGAAGATGAAATCACCCTCATCAATCTTTATCCCAGTCATAATGCATACAATGAGAAGAGCTTTCTCAATGCTTATGTTAGTTTCATTTCGAGACGGTATCAATCAAGAGGTGACAAAACTGAGCAAGAATCGACCTTCTCATGTAAGATCTTCCTTGAATATTTTGTGTACAGGGTAAATCCAAGCAGGGGTCCCCTTGGCTATCACTGACGCTATCTAACTACGCTCATTATCCCGGTTTGCCCATTTGGTGTCATACTCAGCTGTGCCCGGTCTCCAGTCAGGGAAGTTGAACTCATTGATGGTATCACTGTTGCAGAACACCTGCTTCCTCCGAACCAAGATAGTATCATAGAAAACTTTGTTGCGCTTGTGGTGAGGGGTCCTGGAGGCTCCATAGGATGCATAAAATTCACAGACTACTGTCTCATTGTAATCATCTGGTAGCTCAGTGAAGCACTCCCATTTTCTAACTTTTATGTTCTCTAGTATGTGAGGGCACTGCTCCTGTAGCCCGTTCGAACTTGGTTGTTTCTAGACGAGTATTTTTCATTTTGTAAGCCCTTCTCTATACAGCTCCCTAGAGTCGTCGACCCCAAACCTGAGTTGGAAGTCATCTCCTCTTTTCCTTCTTGCCTCAGCTTGTAGGTCAACTGAAGGCAAGGTCTCCTCCTCATCAGACTGGGAGGGATGTGCTGCAGTAGGGTCTGGTCATGAATGTTTGGCTTGTTGTGCTTGACGACTGGTGGAGGACCTTTTCTTGGAAGAAGACACATGTTTCTTAGGAGCCATATCTGCAAAGAAATAAAGTGTGAGAACATAGCAGACAACAGGAGAAAAAGTACAAATAATTACAAGTATGCGACAGGTTATGCGGTCGCATAACCACTATGTGGACCGCAAACATGTCGCAAACTTTCTCTCTACTGAAGGGATATAGTTATGCAATATGTTATGCGATCGCATATCCATTATGTGGTTCGCATAACCATCGCATAACTAAATGATAGGGAAGTACATTTACACTATGCGATCGCAAAGTCCACTGCAAAGATGGATTTGTGATCGCAGAATTTCCGCAAACAACAAACTACAAAAGGCATGAAACTATTTTAGTATGCGGTGACATTGTAGTCCGCATATCGCTTATGCGATCGCAAAGTCGCCGCATTTTTTCATCTTCTTCAGGACACCTAGGTTTCATTCTGCGGCAACAATGTGGATCGCAAATCGACTATGCGATCTGTAAAAGTCATCGTTCTCACATTTTGAACTCCACCCTCAACAATGGCGAACCTAGTTTCACTACCTAGCACCCCCAAACCTAACTACCTATCCAAGCACTCCCTCACATTATGAACAGATACCCACATACGAAGAGGAAAAAAGAACAAAAACTAAAGGAAACAAAAATAGGAAAAACACAACAAAATATAAACTAAAATTTACAAGGATGAAATCAGGAGATGAGAACATACCAGTGATAGGGAAATGATATTGGGAGATGAAATCAACAGGTGTTGTTTACTCTTTTCGATTCAACTAGCCGTTTTCCTTCTCTTTTTTTGTTTTGTTTTGCTTTCTTTCTGATAAAAAAAAATTCTTTTCTTTTCTTTTTCAAGTGTTTGAATGCTGATGATATGCGAGGGTTAATTACCTATCCACTTTGAATTGCTCAATTAAATCTATCTAAAAACAGTTAAAATTTAAAGAATAAAAAAGATGTTACGACACATGGGTTACCTCCCATAAAGCGTTTGATTTAATGTCACGACACGATGTGGTTGGCCTTTATTTGGGTTCACTCATTGGTCGGGAACGGACCATCTTTGAGAGCCAACTGTTCCACCAAATGTTTTTATCCATATGTGCCCAAGTAGTGCTTGATTCGCTGGCCATTTACTTTGAAGGTTCGGAGCCTATCCTTTAATTCTAATTCCACAGCTCCAAAAGGGGATACATTGACCACTTTGAACGGACAAGACCATTTTGATTTGAGCTTGCCCGAAAATAATTTGATCCTTGAGATGAATAGCAAAACTAAGTCACCCGACTTGAACTCCCTTTTTAATATTTTTTTGTCGTGGACGAACTTCATCCTTTCTTTGTACACAGCTGCACTTTCATATGCATGGAAATGGAATTCCTCTATTTCATTGAGTTGTGTTAACCTCTAATTTGTAGCTTCAGCCCAATCCAAGTTTAACCTCTTTAAAGCCCACATAGCTTTGTGCTCCAGTTCTAAGGGTAGATGACAAGCCTTGGCAAAGACTAACCGATAAGAAGAAGTGCCAATAGGAGTTTTGTACGCCGTGCGATATGCCCACAATGCGTCATCTAGCTTTCATGACCAATCGGTCTTGTTTGCATTAATAGTCTTTGCCAGAATGTTCTTTATCTCCCGTGAAAGACTTGTTACAGAAATGAGACCCGCCATCACTAAGAATGGCTCTAGGAGTGCCAAACCGCGTGAATATGTTTTTCTTTAAGAATGTGGTCACACTCCTTGCCTCGTTGTTTGGTATGGCAATTGCTTCAACCTATTTGGACACATAGTCCACAGCCACCAAGATATATTTCATACCATAAGAGCTTACAAAGGGGCCCATAAAATCAATGTCCCACACATCAAATATTTCTATCTCCATCACAAAGTGCATTAGCATTTCATGCCTTTTGGAGATTGATCCTTGCCTTTGGCATTGGTCGCAAGCCTTGACCATTTTATTGGCATCATGATAAATCAATGGCCAATAATAACCACATTCAATCACCTTTTCCGTCGTTCGATTACCCCATGGTGACCCCCGATCGTTGAGTCATGGCATGCCTTTAGAATTGGCATAATCTCCTCTTCTAGAACACACCTTCGGATGATGTTATCAGCACAAACACGGAACAAGAATGGTTCTTTCCAATAGTATTGTTGACAATCTCTCAAAAACTTCTTCTTTTGATAGAATTCCAATCCATCCGGAATAAGGCCACTAACCAACTAGTTAGCAATATCAGCATACCAAGGAGCAAAAGTGCATCCGGGAAAGCATCGTTGATTTCAAGATTTCCCTTTAGTCTCCCTGCCTCTTCAAGCCTTGATAAATGATCTGCCACTTAATTTTCTGTCCTTTTTCTATCTTTGACTTCGCAGTCAAACTCTTGAAACAACAGGACCCACCGAATCAACCTAGGCTTTGCATCCTTCTTTTCCATAAGATAGCGAAGAGCAGCATGATCTGTGTACACTATCACCTTGGATCCCAACAAGTAAGCCCGGAATTTCTCAAAGGCATAGACAATGGAAAAAAGTTCTCGCTCAGTCATCTATAATTCATTTGGCTCCATTGAGTGTCTTGCTTGTATAATAGACCAGGTGAAGAACCTTGTTGTGACGTTGGCCAAGCACTGCTCCAATAGCTACACCACTAGCGTCACACATGAGTTCGAATGGAAGAGACTAATCGGGTCTGACAATAATAGGTGCCGTGGTGAGCTTTTGTTTCAATTCATCAAAGGCTTTGAGTCATTTCTCGTCAAACACAAATTTTGCATCTTTCTCAAGGAGTTTGCACATAGGATTTGCAATCTTGGGAAAATCCTTGATGAAACGCCTATAAAATCCGGCATGCCCCAAGAAACTTCGAACACCTTTAACTGAAGTAGGTGGAGGAATCTTTGAAATGATCTCGATCTTTGCTCGGTCAACCTCTATGCCATGTTTTGAAATTTTATGCCCCAATACAATGCCTTCATCCACCATGAAATGACATTTATCCTAGTTAAGCATAAGGTTGGTCTCCTCACATCTCTTGAGCACTTGTCTAAGATTGTTGAGACAATGCTCAAAAGAGTCACCTACCACCGAAAAGTCATCCATCAAAACCTCCAGAATATCCTCCACCATATCAAAGAAGATGGACATCATGCATTTTTGAAAAGTAGCCAGAGCGGTTCACAAACCAAACGGCATCTGGCTAAAGGCATAAGTTCCATAAGGGCAAGTGAATGTTGTCTTCTCTTTGTCCTCCAATGCTATATTGATTTGGTTGTAATCAGAATATCCATCAAGAAAGAAATAGAATGACCTTCTCGCTAGCCGATCAAGCATTTGATCAATAAAAGGCATAGGGAAATGGTCTTTGCACGTGGCACCGTTGAGATTCCAATAATCCATACATACCCCCCATCCGGTCACCGTTCTTTTTGGGGTGAGCTCATTTTTATCATTTTCAATCACGATTATGCCTCCCTTTTTCAGCACACATTGCACCGGGCTCACCCAAGAACTATCGGCAATGGGGTAGACTACCCCAGCATCCAATCACTTGATGATTTATTTCTTTACCACCTCTTGCATGGACGAGTTCAACTGTTATTGGTGTTCCACACTTGGTTTAGTCTCACTCTCCAATTGGATCTTGTGTTCACAAATTCTGGTGGGAATCCCTCGGATATCCGCAATTGTCCATCCAATAGCTTGCCTATTCTCCTTCAAGACATCCAACAATTGTTCTACCTGCATATCATTCAAATAAGAAGAAACGATTACCGGTAAAGTATCATTTGATCCATGAAATTAATACCTCAAGTGTGGTGGAAGTGGTTTGATCAATAGTTGCGGTGGCTCAATAATAGAAGGCTTTGCGGGAGGAGTGGCTCTATTCTCCAAGTCGAGAGAGAGCTTTGCCGGAGCATAAGTGTAGTACCCAAGCCCCTCCAATGCATTGACTAATTCTATATACCCATTCGTATCTTCACCATCAAAGTTCACCAAATAGCCGCCAATGCCTCACCGAGGCATTGTCCTTCCATCTTCATTTCAACCGCATTTTCCATTTCATCAACAACATCAATCACCGAGATGCTTTCATATTCATGTGGTAGTTTCATACCTTTTCTTGCTTGGAATTTGACCTCTTCATCATTCACACGGAATTTGATCTCATTCCATTCCGAATCTATTAGTGCTCTTATTGTGGCTAGGAATGGTCTTGCCAAAATAATAGGGATCTCTTTGTCAACCACACAATCAAGGATTACGAAATCAGCGGGTAAATAAAACTTTCCCACTTTAACAAGCACATCGTAGATAATTTCCACCAGTCTCTTTATAGAACGATTGGCCATTTGCAATCTCATACTTGTAGGCCTTGGCATATCTAACCCTGTTTGCTTGTAAATGGCAAGAGGCATTAATTTTATGCTAGCCCCATTATCACAAAGGGCTCTTGCAAACTCATGTGCCCTAATAGTATATGGAATAGTGAAATCTCCCGGGTCTTCTTTCTTTTGAACGATGGATGTTGCAATGATGGAACTAACCCGGTGAGTCACATTCACCACTTCATTCTTGGTGGTTCTCTTCTTGGTAATCATGTATTTCAAATATTTAGCAAAATCCGACATCTCTTGAAATGCTTCCACAAATGGAATATTCACCGATAATTGTTTGAGAATGTCATAGACCTTTTCGAGTTTTCTATCATCAACCTTCCTAGCAAGTTTTTGAGGGATGGAGGAGGAGGTCTAGGAATAGGTGGTAGAGTCTTTGGTGTCTCTTTTACCTTTTCCTTTACCTCTTCCCGGTTTTCTTCTTGCACTTTCAACTCTTCCGAAACCTTTTCAACTTCAACAACACTTGGCTCTTCAACCTCAAGCTCATTTACGGACTCTTCTACTTCAACCACTTGTTCACTCCATCCTTGTAGTACCTTCCCACTCCGATTAGTAATTGCCATGATATGATCAGTTTGACCACTCCCACTACCCTTTGGGTTCGCAATTGTGTCACTTGGAAGTGTCCCTTTTTGCTTCGGATTTTGTTCCCTAGAGAGGTCTCTCATTTGCATCTAAATTTTTTTAATGGATGCGGTTTGAGAGCCAACAAGCTCGATCATATTCTTCATAGAAGTGTAGGACTTCTTTTGATTTTGCAATACACGTTCAAGCATGCTTTCCAACTTGGAATCACTTGAGGAACCTTGATTTGAATATTTACCCTTTGGAGGCACATAAGGGTTGGAACTCCGATTTGAGAAGTTATTGTTGTTGTTATTCCAATTTCCTTGATTTGAGCCATCTTGGTCATTTTGCCGTTGTTGGTTGCCTTGCCCTTACGGGTTAGGCCTCCATTGATTTTGTTGTCCTTGAACTTGGTATTGTTGACTTTGATAGCCTCCTTGAGAGTTGTTGACATAGTTGGCTTCCTCATAATCTTCATGTGATGATGGTTGAACATCTTCTACCACATTTACCTTCTTTGTTTGGCTTTCAGTGAACATTTTTGTCAACACATTGACATTGGTGGCAAGCCTTGCAATCACTTGATCTCTCTCTTGATTTTCCTTGATCATGGTGGTAAAGGAAGGAGAACCATATGCAATTCCACCTATGGTGTCCTCTAAGTGCCAAGCTTGATTATATTTTGACATTTTGTCAAGTATTTGTGTGACCCTTGCGAATGATTTGTCCATAAAAGATCCATCAGCTGCATTCTTGGCTATAGATTGGTTCATAGGATCCAAACCCATGTAGAATTTATCCAACAAGATAGAATCCCGAAAACCATGATTGGCAGACCTCACAAAATATAACTTGAATCTATCTCATGCCTCATGTAGATGTTCTCCGATACTTGTTTGAAAAAGAAAATTTTATCCCGGAGCTCAAATTTCTTACTTTGCGGGAACCATTTAGCTAAGAATGCTCGGACTAGTTCAGGCCAAGAATGAATGGAGTTTGGTGGCATATTTTGAAGCCATTTCCTTGTGTCCCCTGCTAGTGAGTACTTGAAAACCCTCAATCTTAGGGCATCATCAGAGACGTTGTTCTGCTTATGCATCGCACACACACCCAAGAAGTTTCTAAGATGTTGTGTCGGATCATCATCAGTAGAATTCCTAAAAAACCCCTCTGCTTTGAGCATAAGTATTAAAACATGTTCCACCTTGAAAGTTGCAGCACTAACAACCGAAGGTACAATAGCATTTGTATCCTCAATGTACTCATCTATGTCTGCAAAAGGATTTTCTTCCATTTGTTCCTCCATTTCTTCTTCATATTCGGCCATGTTTTCCTATCACCACCAAGCAAAACAAGCAAAGTATGATGGAATAGAATAATACGTAAAGTAAAGCACACACTAATTAGTAATTTCAAAACCGTATTCCCCGGCAAGGGAGGCAAAATTTAATACGCTCAATTACACTTTAATTAAATAGTGTAAGGTGGTCGGTGTCAAATATAATAACCCAACAAGGTTGGTGTCGAATCCCACAGGGAATAGGCGTGAAAAGGTTACTCGAGTAGTGTGCTACTTGACTTGGGTCGTAATTCTATTCCGTTAATTGTAGCAAGAGAATGATATGATTGTGATTTGAAGAAATAATTAATTGTGACATAGAGAATGAAAATAATTTCATTTAGGAAACCAAGGTTGTGTCCCCTTCAATGAAGTGTAATGCTATCGGTGTTAATATGATATATTCCTAATGGAAGGTTCTTTAGATATGCAAATGATTTCTAAATGACTACCCAATATTTTTCAATAGTTGGATAGTATTTCCTCTTTATTATTTTTCCAAATATAGAAGAGTTGCAATTAATAATAATCAATATATGCCAAATAAAACTCGCTTATTCCTAAGCGATTCTATTAAACAAGGTTTAAAGCCTTGAGTCTTTGATATTTATTTCTACCAAATTATAACTCAATCCAAGTAAAGAAAGAATTTAATGGCACTTGTTAATGTTTGCAACCACCAACAATAAATGAAGAATGTGAAATACATATATATCAACCAACCATTATACATATATTCAATGTTAAACACCCATTAACATAACACCAATTTAGGGTCCACAACCTTAGTATTTAAAGTTAGCAACACATGCTACAATACAAAAAGATGAGAATATTTAATGCCATAAAGCTTACAAAGTGCAAGATTCTTCACTCAAAAGCGTCCAAAAGAGAGGAATATTAAAGACTTGGAATGTAGCTAAAAAATAAGACAAAATGCCTCCACAAAACCCCAATAAATCTATTTATAGTGGGTCAAAACTCGGGATAAATTTTAGACAAAAACACCCTTACAAGTCAATTATGCGACCGCATATCTGTCGCATAACAGACATGCGGTCCGCATTCTCTTCAAGACCATCGCATCTTCAAACCTTAGTTTCCAGGCATTCATCGCATTTAGGTTATGCGGTCCGCATTGCCAATTTGTGATCGCAATTTCCACCGCATTTTCTGCCTTCAACAACTTCTACAACGAGTTTGTGATCCATTATGTGGCCCGCAAACCTGTTATGCGGTTGCATAATGGACCGCATTTCTTGCACCTGACTTTGGCCAGCAAACTGTTGGACTCTGCGATTTCTTTGAGCATTATGCAGTCCGCATATTGGATTTGCGGCGCGTATCTCCACCTATGCGATCGTATTTTGCACTTTTCTTGACCTTTTTCGGCTTTTTAATTTCATTTCCATGTTCTTAGGTCCTTAAACCGCATACGCTGCAAAAACATTAAAATTACATAAGTATAGAAGATAATTGCATTTAAAACAAGCTAAAACCTAAGCAATTTGTATTAAATGTGCCAAAATTCTCTGGCACATCAAGAGTCTTATTGGGGAAAACTCACACGGGTACTGTAAGATGATGGTGAGCAGAGAAATTGAAAATGAGAGATTCTTGTTAGTGAAAACTCACAAAGAGGACTATAATGCGATGATGAGAAGAGAAATGAGAGACGTCAATTGGTGAAAACCTACAAAGGGCGCCAATGATCGAAAAAAAGGACTTCCTTACTACCATCGGTACATATAGAGTCATGGCAAAGTTTCTCGATTTTGAGGTATGAGTTATGATGGGTTCATGAGAGATTGGATGGTTGCGCAAATCGGGTGTCCAGTCCAAGAAGCATGTTATGTCTTGAAGTCAACATGCACTCCTGATAAGCCTTTCTTTCCTTCCCCCAGAAGGGATACTTCTCGTTAAATTCATTATCCTGTCCTTTGTTTACTTTTCTTTGAATCCCTTTCGGTTTAATCCTCCTCCAAAACTAATACAAAGAAAAGATGGCAAGATTGGTTTTACAGGGTTCTGTTTAACAAAAGCTAAATTCAAGGAAAAGCACCATACCTCACTAGGTGCATCAATTCGAACTCGACTGGCAATGATGGCCGCTACTCCAAAGTCAAAATTATTGAAAAGGAAAGAAATACAAAGTCAAGTGCCTGTAAATGTGAAATAAGATGAAAAGGACAAAGCCCCACACGGGCTAACCATCATGTGAAATTTTGGAAAGTCTAGATCCCTGAGTTTAGAAGAGAGATCGATCTCCAGAAAGCCAGCAAGCAATACATATTTTAATCGAAAGAGTTGAGGCGAGATCAAGTGATCAAAACAATCAAGGCCACGAAACCAACCACCATTTCAAACTGACAAATTGTTCTTTGATTTGAAAACAGGTGCAGTCCAAAACAACTCTACCAGCAGTAGGTGCAATAAAAGTAAGGAACGTAGAAACCAAAATGGTTCTGCAGCAAAAGTTGACCCGAAAAGGAAAGTCCTTTTACACTCTTCATTCGTTATCCTAAATAAAACTGAATAGTGAAGTAAAAAAAAGGAAGAAGAAAAAGAAAGAAGGAAGAAAAGAAGAAGAAAGATTCAAAATCATGGTAGCCTAGGGTCTCCAATCTCTAGCTACGTTTTTCCAACATAGGGTCTCATTCCCTAGTCGCTGTCAGCATAACCTGGTAGCTTTTTCCAGTATAGCATCCCACTCCCTAGTTGATCCCCGGCATAACCCGAGTACCTTTTCTAGCATAACCCGATGACTTTTCCGGCATTATCCGTGGACCTCCCCGGCATAACCCGAGGACCTTTTCGGCATAACTCGATGACTTTTTCGGCGTAAACCGAGGACTTTCCCGGCATAACTCGTGGACTTCCCCGGCATAACTCGAGGACCTTTTCCGGCATAACCTGATGACTTTCCTGGCATAACCGATGGACCTCTCCGGCATAACCCGACGACTTTCCCGGTATAACCCGTAGACCTCCCCGGCTTAACCCGAGGACCTTTTCTGGCATAACCCAATGCCTTTCCCGGCATAACCCGTGGACCCTTTTCTAGCATAACCCGATGACTTTCCCGGCATAACCCGTGGACCTCCCCGATATAACCAGAGGACCTTTTTTGGCATAAATCGATGACTTTTTCGGCATAACCCGTGGACCTCCCGGCATCACCCGAGGACCTTTTCTGGCATAACCCGATGACTTTCCCAGCATAACCCAAGGACTTTTTCCGGCATAACCCGATCACTTTCCCGACATAACTCGTGGACCTCCCCGGTATAACCTGAGGACATTTTCCATCATATCTCGATGACTTTCCCGGCATAATCCATGGACCTCCCCGGCATAACCCGTAGACCTCCCTGGCAGAACCCGAGGACCTTTCCGGCATAACCTGGTCATTTTTCCAACATAACCTAGTAATCTTCCCAACTTAGGGCCTCTGATCCCCATTTGATTTCGTTTTAGAAATAGGGTCTCCACTCCCTAATATCTTTTTTTCCCAAGGATACACAATCCTAATTTTATTTCTTTCAATAAAGAAGTAGTTTAGATTTTTTTTACAATAACTCATGAATTTTCCTAGTTAAAACTGGGCAGAAAAATTTTGTTCGTTTGTTTGCTTTGGTGCCTGAACAGGTTTTTACCATGAGAAAAGATGCAGACTGCCCAAGATATGATGAACTCTAAGTATAAAAGCAGAGAAAAGATGTAAACTACCCAAGATATGATTGAAGTCACAAGCCTTGCATG